GCCGTAACCTTTTCCCATATCCCATATACATATATTTACATATATACGCGTATATAATGCCATCTAGTCATGGGTCAATGCACATGAATGCAATGCATGAAAAGTACGTCAATAAAATCATTCGAAATATCATAAGACCATTTTTCCTCTGAGTAATATCATAAAGTAAACTCTTTTCAACTTTCGTATTTTTTCTGAGACCCATGAACAAATGATAAAATATTATGACACACGAAAATTCAAGAACATAAATATCTCTAATACTTCTATGAATAGAATCATTCATGGAATTTGTGCATTTGCACGTTTCATTCGTATTGTATGGATCATGCCAGAAGAAAGAAGGGATAGCCTTAACATACCTGTTCCTTAAATTATTTGAATGAAACGAAATTCTTTTTATATGAACTATGTTGAACCCACAAGAATATAACTCATGCTTCTTTGAACGAAATTTTTGCTTAATTTGACAAGTTTGGACGAAATGAAAAATGGTTCATAATAAAGCTTTTGTTAAGCTTTTTGTCTTGGATTTTTCAAACCAAAAAAGAGTGTGTTCTTTCTGTTTTGATAATTCACATGACTGATGCCTTCTAAAATTAATTTAGAATAACTCATTCTTACGGGGTAGATAACTAACTTACACGTTTTAGTATACTAAGCAGATATGACTCTTAGTCATATGCTTAAATGGTGGTCTACTGCCACATTTCATTTTGGATATAATTAACTAAGTTTTATCCACTTATTAGTTAATCGGGTAACATTTTGCTACCCGGTAATTAATCAATTATCCGCATAATTTAAAGATTATCATAAATTACTTAAAATTCTATTTCTTATTAAAATACTTCATATATACTTTATATATTATACTACCGTGATCATATGGCACCTTGCATGATATTAGTTCATAATTATCGGGTATTATCGCTCGACCCGTATTTTATTCCAAATTGTCTACTTTCAATAAAACTCACTTTCTTTAATCCGTGTACCCCTTTATCCTTCATAACACTTATTTATCGCTTGTATAAATAGTGTAATCCTTATAATATCCAAATAATCTTTTACTTGGACTAATGTCAATTACCTTATGACAAATCCAATGTACAATACTACAGGGTGCAACATCGTCGTAACTTAATACTGCAAAGCATAAATCCACCGTAATGTAATACTGCTGGGTGCAACACTGTCGTAACTTAATACTACAAATCATAATATCGACGTAATATTGCAGGGCGTAACATCTTTAGAGGGGAATCAGATAATTTTAGAGAGAGAGAGGGAATGAGCTTTAACACTTCTACACTTCAAGTTCTTGATCAAGTCTCGGGAATTCGAGATGAAAAACTCACAAGTTCGTCTACTAAGGAGGCAAGACTTTATTCCTAACTCTCATGCAATGTTCTATAATGAATTTATAAGCATATTTTTCATGATGGGGCAGATGGAATGGTGATTGGAAGTTATAAGCCCTTACATTTCGAATTTAGGGTATATGGAGAAGAATGTGAGAAGTAGTTCTTGAGTTGGAGGTGAATCGTTGGGCATGCATGTGCCGATGAAGGTGGTATGAAGGTTGTTAAACTACGTTGGGTATGTTGTTGTTTGAAATTGGTTGTGGGGTGAAAGATTTTTATCATAGAATCTTGTAGTTGATTTCGCATATTTGATGTTTGATGAAATACCTACAAGGACTAAACCTATGAGCACCTTCCTAATTATGGTTCAATTTGACTATATTTCTATAGATTCCAGTTCATATCATATTGTATCAAAGTGCCACAAGTGATTGATGTATCAAATGCTTATCTACCCAAGTCATATTTTAATTGCTCTCGTCACACGATGTTATCTCTTTGGAAATATTTTAAGTATGATTGATTTACCAACCGCTTAAGAACTCAATCCATAATTCCATTGAAATTACTATGCTCTCTATTTGTAATTATTTTCACTATGTTTTGAGCTTTTATGTACTTGTGAGTCGAAGCTATAATTTTTTCAATATTGTTAAATGTCTTTAAATGCTTTATGATGACCCATGGGAAGAAAAGAAATGAAAGTATGAAATATGAAATGCGGTCATCGTGCCAAGAATAAAGATTAACAAGTATGGCCAAGAGTGCCAATGAAATGAAAGATTTTATGAAAGTTATGAGATGAACATATAATTATTTTATTATACAAAGTATTTTTGGGAGTATCGTTCGGTCACCGACGAAGTCTAGGTTATTAATATCCAAGCCCGAAACTACATGTGCCGATGTAGGAATTAATGGATCTTCGTTATATTATGTTAAGATTATTCCCCTTGATTGGATGAGTTGATAGCGAGCAAAGACCATTTTGACCCACACAACATTATGGTGAGGCGGCCTAGCTGATCGGGCAGAGATCAGACGCTATGCCGTGCACATGGTGGCGAATTCGTATTTTTATGTCAACCCCCATACATTGGGGTGAGACGGGTTAACCGACCAGGCAGAGATCAGACTCCATACCATGCGCATGATGGTGTGTCGGTACTAAGGATCTCCCAACCTAAAATATTAATGCTTACTTGAAAGTTTACTTTGTTTTAACTTGGCATTTAATTATTAATGATTTTCTTACTCCTTCGATATTTTTCTCCTTTGTATGTTGGCATTCCGTTTCATGAGAGAGTATCTAGATTTACATACTAGTACTATTCTATATGTACTAATGACCCTTTTACCGGGGGCGCTGCATCTCTAATGGATGAAGGTGGTTCCTCAGTAAGTGACATTGATCATTGATAGCATCATACCATCTTCTCAGCTGATTTAGTGAGCCCTACTTCATATCGGAGCCATGTGTCATTTTGATTCTTGTATATTTTATTTTGAGGTATAGCTGGGGCCTTTTCACCGGCAAATTTCATATTACTCTCTTGGTTACTTAGAGGCTCCATAGACATAATATGAGATGCGTTTTGTGCGGGGAAAACAAAATAAAAATATTGTTGTGGTTATCAGATGTTTCCACTTCTAAATATGAACTTGTAATCTTTTGGTAATTATCAATGAAACTCCTTTAAATAATGGAATATGATGTTGTACCTCTTATCCTCCCATTATCTATCTCTTGTCATCTATTCTTGAATCCTACTCCCCAAGGTTGGGCGTGACACGTTAGGGGTATAAGTAATATATGGATAAGTTATACAACAAATGTATGTATTATTTATGCAAGATAGAATGTGGAATAACTAATACATGTATTAATAATATATGAATTAAATAATCAAACGACCAAAAAAACCCTCACATTTATTTTACATTACACATTGTGTAATTAAAATAAAGTAAACATTTAACAAAAATAATCTCTACATTACAATATATAAATTACTAATCCATGCATTATTAATTCTTACATAACTGATCCCTTCATAATTAAATTATGCATAATTAAACCCTCCATAACTCTAACCAACAAGCAAACAAACCCTAAATTGACACCTTGTTTTTTGCTAGACTTCAAATTTTATGCGGAACTATAAAAAAAGTATATGCAATATTATCACTTAAAAGGTAATGGTAAGTACCTATTTATGTCATACAGTTATAGCATTGTTGATTGAGAGTCAAATGATATACTTTGGCATATCTTTTAGAGGAAAAATTTAGATAGTCCTTTAAGTATGGGCATAGGAATAATTTTGTCCTTCATTTATACTAGTGAACATAAAACATCCTTTATCTTTGTAAAAGTGGACAGTTTTGATCTATTATTAACGAGTTGTTAAAACTAGCTAACGGAAGTTTTCTTTTACGATGATGAGAGGCAATGTGGAAGATGTAAACGGGAATTTGCTTATGAGAAGAGAGAATGGTACTTTTGATCTTCATAATTTCAAGAACGATATTTTGGCTAATGCTCAAAGAATTATTCTGAAATAGATTCTTCTTCTTCTTTCGGGAATTATTTATTTTTTAAATCTCTTTTCTGTTTCTTCTCAACTAAAATTGTAAAAGATTTAAAAAAAACTAAAGGTTGAATCTTTAATCAATGAAATTTAGTTCGGCATTTATGTAATCCAATTTTCCAATAGATGCGAGCTATGATCTATGTGTTTTACTTACGTTTTTGGGTTAAAGAATGAAAGATGGAAACTTTCATTAGAATCGTAAATTTGCTATGCATTTTGGTCTTTTACTTGTTATGAATTTTCTAAAAGGAGAGTTTTGGTAGCAGTAATTCTTCACAACGGACTGCAAAGAAGAAACGGTCCTCTTCTCTTTCTTTAGTTTAGTTTAACTCTTGCCGTTGAATTTAGGCCTTTCCCGTTAGTTTTAGTAGCACTGTTAAGAGATAAATCAAAACTGTCCACTTTTACAAAGATAAAGGATGTTATATATTCACTTGTACAGATGAAGGACAAAAATACTTCTATGCCCATACTTAAGGGACTATCTTAGTCTTTCCCTCTATCCTTTACTCTCTCTTAATTTATGTAATGCAATTCAAAATTTGAAAATCAAACACATTTTTATTTAAACGCGATTTTTGCATGTCTTTTAAAATATTTTAAATTATTAATTATTATGACTTATAATACTTTTATATAGTTTTAAATATACAAATTTTATTTTAAAAAACCTAAAAAATCGAGATCAGAATTAAGAAACTTAACTCCTCCTAAAATTAAAAAGATTGGCATTGATTGCGATGGAGGGAGTACAAGACAAATGAAAGTCCATCACAATGGCAAAGTATCAAAGAAGAAATCTTCCCTAAATGTGAATGTGCAATAATATTACATTAACTACTCCCCTGTGAGGGTTAAGCCAATAAGCAGTTAACAATTATTCAAAGCTGACCTCTTATCCCATCTCAACCCACGGTCAACATTCCAACTGTTCGACGAAATGATACAAAGAAGAACATACATGGAAGATTAAAAATCCCAAAAAGGAAAGGAAAAAAAATCTGACATTCAAATTCATTGTTTTTGGATATCAGAGAAAATGCCATTCAACGGAGTATTATTAGTGTCAGTGGCGAAAACATCAGCAGAAGTTTGGCAATTCTTATCATGTCTGCCAGACCCAATTGAGAGCGAGCAGCTATTGGATCTGGTCATCTGCTTCCCTCTTCAACAATTGGGTCGCTTAGCTCTTTGTGTTTGGACTTTCCTTTGTGTCCCACCTGACCCTTATTACTATCGCCGTTACTCTTACAATTCTTCTGCGTCTTCTTCATCTTCATCATTTTATGACGAGGAGGATCTTGTTGGTGCTTCCCCTCCTGTTGCAGCTCCTCAATATTACTATGATTCTTCTTCTTCTTCACATTCGGATTGACCCTCATAAGCTAATCTAATTATTTTGTAAAATAGTTGCCTTCTTGCCCTGTTTGGTTTTCTGTTTTTTTTTTGTATAATATCCATATCTGTTGACCACTAAAGAAAAGGGAAAAAAGGGGTTGATTCTGTTATTGATGTAGTGAAACTGATGAAGTGTTTCATTTTTTGATAATCATAATTCTTATATGATATATATGTAAATTTATTGAGCTTATCTTACATTTTCCTTGTTAAAAAATATGTTTTTTTTTTTATTTGGGGGGAGGAAGGGGGGTTTCTTGAGCTGTATGTTACCTGTCTAAGAGAACATTTTTAGCAAGAATTTGATGCTTGGCTAGTAGAGATTGATTTTGGAGATGTGTTGGAAGATTGTTTTGAAGTTCCATTGAGTCTTCTTGTGCCAAAGACATTACTTATGTGAATTCTGTCATGGATCATACTGTAGAATTCTATTTTGGGATTCTGTCATGTAACTACTCTACATTAGGATTCTATGTAAGTTCTTTCTACCTGTGTATGACATGTTTAGAGTAGTATGTGTGTTTATTTACACAACTGCAAACTTTAAATCCTGGTATAAAACATACTAATATCCTTACCTTTTCCCTGTTTTGCTATGAGCCTGAAATATGCCCTAGTAAAGGAGTGTGCTGATGGGAGGGTACTCTTATTGGTGGGAGTTTAAAAAGTTTATTTTCCTTCCCTTTTCCCTGTTTTTGCTTGTCTCACTTCCTTCTTCCCTTCAAATATCTTATTTTTCGGCCACCTCAATGGTTAAAAGTTATCTCTTATATTTTAATTGACACATCATCTATTGCACCTGGTTATAGAGCTTTTGTGGTTACAGATAGTAGTCTGTAGGTCACAAAGAGTAGCTGTAAAAGCAGCATGCTGGTAATGCTGCTGAAACTGAGCCAGCAATCTGCTTACATATTCTTTGTGGTTCTCCAGCTTGTTAGGCAGAAAAGGATAGACAAATTGTAGATTTTTCTTTAAAAGATACAAAACAATCTAATTTCCATGTTTTGGCTATAGCAAATATGTCATCTATGCTAGCTATAAGAATGGTGAGTAGGGGATTCTGAGGAACATATTGATTGTGGAGTTACTAATATAAGTCCGGGTGATTACAGGAGTTGGAGATAGATGGCTACCACCATGTCTAGCATGCACGTCTAGTCCTCATTTCCGCACTAGCTAACTTCTAATTTGTTGGCCTTCTTCACCAGACTATTCCATCTTCCTTCCCACTTAAAAATTTCAAGAGATCACTGATGGACAGGCTGCAACTTGTTTCCATTTTTTCTATTTATTGCTTCAGTATTAACCAAAGACTTATAGTATCCTAGTGTAGTAAAAGAGCAGACCAGTAATAGTCCATAGTTGGTAAAACTGACGGGCTTAATATTTGTTGCTATGAAAGCCACCATTACTGAAGGTTTGTTATTGGGAGTGTTTGCATTTCCATTAATGCAAATGTTAAGCATGCTATACACCATAGCCTAATTTGCTGGACAATGAGCCGGCAAGAATTTTTTGAACTCATGTGCACATTTGTTCTATCACCTATGCGCTGTGCCATCTCTTGCTGATTGCTTGGGTTTCAGCAGAGCTATTAAAAGGTAGGTCTCTTAATTTTACTGTTTCCCAGCTGTGGAGATAATGGACTTAAATTATGTGTTCTATGAAATCGATGTAGAAGGGATGATTCACATGCTCTCAAACTAGCAACTCACATTACTTGAAGAGTATATGGATCTTAGAGCCAATGTTTGCATTATCTCATAAAAGGTGATGGAAAACACCAATCAAAGTCCAAAAGACCGAAAAACCACCAAACAAAATCTATGATGTCAGAATCTAAGACCCGTAGTAGTCACTCGAAGCATCCTTTCACCCAATATATGATTGATGGAATAACTTGTGGTAACAGCTTATAAATGTTTTCAATGATATGGAGAAAATGTAAAATATATCTATTTATTATCCTCTGTTGAAACTCTCTTATAAGTTGCTAGAGGTCTAACAGTATCTGATTATTCATGGCTGATAAGAATTTCCTAGGCACCGAGCATTTGCTTATGATCTGTGTATAGCCATTATGGCACTAGGATATTATTATGATCTTTCTTCGGTCATACTCTTGTAGTAATATTTCTTTGATGTGTTAAATTCGAGATTCTCTGTTAACAGCTCTGCTACACCTGCACCAGATGCTGCTATTTTAGGGTATGAAGAGCATCAGCTTGATTTTATGTTTCACAGAACAGATGTCTTGTTTCTAGGGTGAGGCAAAAACTCGAGCTTTGGTTGAAAACAATGTTTCCTCTTCTTCCTTTCCCCAACATTCAATGGCTCTTCCAAATGACCAGGAAACCTTGATGATTATTGTTAAGTTGTTATTCACGCTAGTTATTTTGATCCAAAGGCTTTCTCAGATGAAACTCTCTTCAGTTTCAATTTCTCTGTCTATGGAAAAAGCAATGCATTAAAGGAAATCGTCGAAGTCGGGTGTTGTGGATTGGGATCATATTTTTGAACTCTTTCGCATCCATGAGCTCACTTAGTGTAGATGGGGAAAGAGTTGTCTTATATCCCATTACAAATTTGGCTTTGGCTTTATTAACATTGCACTTGTGCTAATATCCAATGCCTTCTGAAGCATTGACCTGGTGGTTAATTCAGATGGAGGTTACTTGAGGCTTTGACTATGTATGTAGTAGAAGAAGACATCTTTCATTCCCTTCTCATTAAACATACTCAAATTTAACCGAGAAGCCCAAAAATCAACTAGATTTTACTTTCTTTTTGGGGCATTTGCATTTATACCCGCTTTTTGAGTCACGTTTTAACTTGTGCCCGCTTTGTAAAAAAAATTGCAAGCGTAGCAAAGGCAATACGTAAAACTTCAGCATTCTAGTAGACGGGCCTGAAGTAGCAAAAATTGCTGAACCAAGTGTGCCGAAGTTTTTGTTTGTAATTGTTCAACTTAAGCATAATAGTTGAAGTTTTGTTCTCTATTTGCTGAAGTTTTTGTTTGTAATTGTTGAACTCAAGCATAGCAGCTGAAGTTTTGTTCTTTATTTGCTGAAATTTTTGTTTGACACTGCACTAAATAAGCTGAAGTTTTTTTTGTCCTGGATTCATTAGTTTTGTCATTAAGCTTTTTCAAAAACTTCAGCAGAAGATACTGAAGTTATTTAGTTCATTTATAAAACTTCAGCACTAAATAAGCTGAAGTTTTATTGTCCTGGATAAGCTCTTTCAAAAACTTCAGCAAAAAATGCTGAAGTTATTTAGTTTATTTGTAAAAACTTGAGCACTAAATAAGCTGAAGTTTTTTTGTCCTGGATTCATTAATTTTGTCATAAAGCTTTTTCAAAAAACTTCAACAGAAGATGCTGAAGTTATTTAGTTCATTTGTAAAAACTTCAGCACTATATAAGTTGAAGTTTTTTGAAAAAGCTTTCTAATATACTAGATAAATAATCAGATTGCCAACAGTATCTAAATCATAAATTTTGGAAACAATAAACGTGAAAAGAATAGAATTATCATGAAAAGAATCAGTAAGTGTGATCTTAAACTTCCCGTACGTGGAAATATTCACAAATTATTATCTACTAACTTACGTAATTATTTTTAATTTGTTTTTAAATAATCTGATAAACATACTTATGACAATCATCCCATGAGCTGAAGTTTCATAGCAACACCAACAACAGCAGAAGAAAGAAGAAAAAAACGAAGGAGGAGGAGAAAGGGAGCTGGAGTTGTTTAAAAAGTGAGTACAAGTTAAAACTTTTAAAAAATGTGTATATGTTAAATGGGGGCGACCAAATAGGGCGCCCCGTGCAATTTTTACTTTCTTTTTTATATGTTTGAAAAAAGTGGAGTTTTATCACATAAACTAGTAGAATATTATGCTGTCTTGAAGACATTTAGAGCCCATTTGACCAAGCTTCCAAAAACTGATTATTTTGATTTTTTTTAAAAGTACTTTTTTCAAAGGTACTTTCGAAAAAAAAGCTTGTGTTTGGCCAATTCATTTAAGAAGTACTTTTTGTAATATTTGGTAAATAAATTATGTTTGGCCAATCTTTCTAAAAAGTGCTTTTGAGTGTCAAATTATCAAAAGTGATAGTACTAAGGTCTTATAATTATTTTAAAGAGAAAAATAAATTTAAATATTTATTGTAAGAGGATTTTATTATTTTTTATTTAGTTGAATTAAAATATAAAATATAAAGTAAACATACATATTAAAGATTTAAATCAATGTAACATATATAGTTCTGCTAAAACAATAATATTGTCTAGTATAATTACTTATTATTTACATGATGATTTTGATTAATCAAAATACATCATTCAGTATAAATTAGAAATCTATTCTATAAATTATTATATATTAATAATCCACCATGAAATAATATGCAAAGTCACTCATACATGATAACATTTCTTAATAATTTTTATCTCTAATTCTATCACGCAACGCGTCCATAATAGTAGAAGGCTTGTCTTGCATTTCTAAAGGAATACTAGAAGGTCAACCTCCTTCCTCAATCTTTGCAGTAATCTCTTCATTAACATAATAGTTGATTTCCTTATCAGTAGAAGAATGTCGTCGATGAAATTATGTATAGCCATGGTAGTTGTAACAAAGATGAATTTGAGTGTCAAACTTAAAAGATGACATTGAGCGCTCAATAGAAACCAGTTTTTCTAGACTCCAAATGTTCATTGTACAACAAAGGTTGGAGTGAAAAAAATTGAAAGCCTCATTTAGATTTCTAAAATTAGAGTTACGCTTGAAATTTGGGAGATGATATCGCTCACCTTTATACGGTCCTAAATAACCCATCATTGTTGGATAGTTTGAATCAACTAAATAATATTTACCTACACCAAGTAAAAATGAGTTAATTAAGATAATAAAAATAAACCCACATATTAAAATAACATAAGGCATATTATTGTTGCGTGCCTAATGGA